TAAAAAGGTTAATTAAAAGACTTGAAGTTAACTAACCAAATTCAAACTGCTCCATTTTTTATAAAAATATATTAAAATGTAGCGATTTGAAATTGGTCAGTTAACTTCAAGTCTTTTAATTAACCTTTTTAAATAAAAAATTTTGAAAATTAATATCTCCAAAACGAAGCAAAACACCTTCGTAAGATTTTAATAGAAGGTAAAGAATATTATAAAAAATCTTTGTGCAAAACCTCAATTTTTTCGGAGCACCGACAAAAAAGTTATAAGTAAATAAAAATCTTGAGAATATTTAAATAAAATTTTTTTTAAAGTCGTATATCATTCAAAAATAATGATTTTTTTGCAATAATTCTTTCGTTCCTCTGTGCAGAATAAAGTGATTTATGTTTTTAGTGAGTTCCAACATCTAATTTTTAATAGTTTTCTAATAATAGCGTTTTTAAAAAAATTGAAAAATTTAAGGTTACAAAATCACGTTGTGAACCTCCTACTTTTGATATTTAATATTTTTAAAGGGAATAAAATTTATACCATAATATTATGGTTAATGAACTCAGGGAATCATCGACTTTCACATATATTTAAACTATAGATTGTTTAAAAATTTGGTCGCAACCACTATTAGACGAAAGTCAGTGGACTGACCCATATTAAGTATTTTCAAATTTCCCAGTGTGCACGTTATGTAACTGTTATAGAACAAAAAGTGTAACTTGTTCTAGAACAGTTCTGGAACTATGTTCTAGACCTGTTCTGCAACAGTTGTTCTGACTCTGTTCTGTAAGGAAGATGTAACATTTGTTCTAGAACATTTGTGCTTAATTAGTTCTAGAATTTTTAAGTGACGTTGTTACTGCAGCGTTCTAGAAAAGTGTTACAAAATTGTAACATAATAGATCTCCCAAGTAGAAATGTGCCACTGGCATAGTACTGACCCAACACTGCCAGTCAGTATAATAGTACTGACTGCCGTACTGGGCCAGTAGTGGACCAACCCTGGCTGGTAACGCTGTCCAGTACTGATTTTGTCCCGCTCACCAGTACTAACGTAGTACTAGAATAATACTGGCAAAGTACTCATCCGGACTTAAAATCTCACTTTTTTACAAAATGCTAAAACACGCTTTCCAATGCAAATTTCATCCTTATTAGCTTATTACTCCCATTTTTACCACGAACAGGTAATGTGAAGCCAATAATAGTTAATGTTATTTAGAATATATAAAATATTATTAACAATAAATAATTAAAATAATAATTATCATTTATATTAATTAAATTATTTTATTTTTAATAAATTATTTTACAAAAAATAATTTGTGTTGTAAATTTTTTTATTTTTTTAAATTCATAATATTTAATTTTTTTTACTTTGCACTTATACTTAATTTAATAATTATTTAAAAATTGATATTACACATGAACAAATATTGTACTTATAACACTTAAAACTAAGAACGAAAAATCTCGCACGCATGGGGGATCGAACCCTAAACCCTTAGAACGCAAGTCAGATACGCATACCGCACAGCCGCGCTGGCTTGAAGTGCTGACTTGAAGTAGTTCACCTAATACAAAAGTTTTGATTTCAAAGTTTGTATTATCTATTGATCACGAAAATAAAATGAATTTATTCTTAAATTTTTTAAACTCATAAAATTTTTTCAATTTTTACAAAGATTTAAGGAAATAAAACTGGATATCAATTTCAGTTAAATATTTTTAATAAATTATTTTTACCGTAAATAATATTAAAACAGACAAAAATGATTGATGAATTACATAATTAAAAATAAGTTAATAAAAGACGACTGTAAAATATGAATGGTGAAAAATTTTTTAAATTTAATATTTAATTATTAATAATATTTAAAAATTACAGTGAAAAAATTACATTTGCTTTATTTTTAAAACTATTAGAAAAAAATTCTCAACTTATTGTTATTGCATGCATGATAAATAACTTAATGCACATATTTCAATGAGTACTAAAATAACTAAAAAAACATAAATATATTTTATATAGGTATATAATAATACATTACAATTACATCCAAAATTTTGAGGGAAAGTATTCGAAAGAAATTAATATACATTTTTTTAAATAAAAAATCATCGTTCTCTACCTATTGAAATAATTTAAAGACTTTTTCATTTAATGTTTTTTATCACCGACATAGTACTGATTCGGTGTGAATGACAGTGTACTGCCAGTACTGGTTTTAATATTTTTTTACCTCCGACATAGTACTGATTCGGTGTATTAGTCAGTACACTGCCAGTACTGAAAGTCAATACCGACAGCCAGTATTGGATCAGTACCATGCCGGTGTTTAATTACGGCGAGCTACGGATATTTCTACTTGGGCTATCACTGTATTTTAGATTTGTTCTCTATTTGGTCTGAAACAAACATGTAACGAACAGATGTTTTATAAATGTGGTACTAGTAGAGTGGATCAAGACTGTTAAAAATAGAAATATATAAAAATATTAAAAATATCATTTCCGTGAAATATTCCCTTAATATTACTGGAAGAATACTCCTAATATCACTGTGATATTATCATGAAGTGGACATTTTGATCTCCATTATATATTACAGGAATATTCCAATGATATATTTATGTGACATACCGTGCTATTTGGGCACGGTTACTTTTTTTAAGTCAGGGAAATTTTACTCAAATAAACTACAAATTACAAATCACAATTTTATTTTCATTAAACTTATACAAAAAAAGTTCTGTAATTCTAGAATATTGTTATAGATCGGTTACAGAATTGTTATAGAATTAAAATTTTTATAAATTTATTTTGTTATCAAACTGTTACATATTTGTTCTAGAACAATGATCTTGAATATTGTTCTAGAATTGTTACAGATCCTGTTACTGTTTTGTGCCTTCAGGGGGACGACATTTTTACTGATCTGTTCCTCACCAGTTCTATAGAACTTGTTATTTTTTGTTATAGAAGAGTTACAGAACTGTTCTGTAACTTTGCACACTGGATTTTAGTAGTTCACAAATTGGGTCATTTTTTTCCAATGTCCTATATTTTAATATTATTTTTAGAAAATTGGCATTTCACAACAATGATATTAAATTTAATACAAAAATTTTTGATTTTCTTTTGTAAAAATTAGTTAAATACACCACTTGCAAGTCGGTTAATTTTATTTGGAATTATTAAATGTATTCACAAAAAAGTTTTGTATAAATACAAATACCATTTTTTTGTATTACATATAATACAACTTTTTGGTTATTTTAAACATTAAAATTGTTTTTGATTCAAATATAATAAATATTTATTTGATCTAAAATGAATTTGCTTTATTTTAATAAATTTTTCGATTAAAGAAAAAAAAATTTGATTGAATCAAATTAAACTTTTGATTGTTTCAACTAAAATTTTGTGGTTTCAAAACAAATTTGGTTATTTCAATTTTTTTTCTAACTGTAACAAATAAAAATAATGGTGTTTGAAAGAGAAAAATATAATTTCTTTTAGCTGCGTGTAAATTTTTTTTTAACAATATAAACAGAAGGTCGAAGAATTAAGTTTTATAAGTTAATTAAAATATTTTACCTTTAGTGAAAAAGTGTAACATGTATTTTAAATAAGTTTTACGAATTATTACGAGTTTTAATTACTTTTCAAAAATAATTCAAAAATGAGGCAAAGAACGATCACACTTCCAATTGTATAATATATTAGGCATTAAATGCATAAAACATTTCACATTTTCTTCTCTCTCTCAAAAAATTATTATTATTATTATTATTATTATTAGTATTATTGACTTGTATTTATTGACATTATATATTATGATGGAAAATTTGATATTATTTTCTTTATTGTTATTGAATTATATTTATTGATTTACATAATATGTTGATGTTAGAAATGAAAATTTTGTATTTTATTCAGTTTTATTTAATATATATTAAATATTATATAATAATTAATGCAACATGTTTTTTTTTAAATTGTGTATTTAACAAATTTTCACAAAATTATTAAAAATCAATATTTTTATAATCTTCCCTACACGAAAATAATATTTTTTTTCTTTCATCACAGAGGGCAATTATTTTATTTATTTAAATATTTAAAGTTCTTTGGGCTAAAAAGTTCTCTGAGGAACATAGAATATTTCAAATAAAATAGTATTTAGTAGTAACAAAAATAAAAAAAAAATGAATAAAATTAATACTATGAGCAATATTAACTAAATACATTTAACTTTACATATAAATATGAGTGTTTAGCAATAATGTTAATAATTATTATTGAAAAAAGGTACTCTTAATTAGCAAAAATAATAAATTTATATTATGTACTCTCTAAATCTGAATTAGTGGTTTTCTACTAATGAAAGACTGCGTATTCTTATACCAATTGAATTAGTAACAGTTTTGACTAATTTTTAGTAAAAAAAACTACTAATTGCTAGTAGGAAACTACTAATTCATTAGTAAGTCGTATTTTTTACTATTTCAAATTACTCTCTAAATTTGAATTAGTAAAATTTTTAACTAATTTGAATTAGTGACTTACTTTTTGCTATTGAAACTAATTCAAATTAGTAAAAAATTTTACTAATTCAAATTTAGAGAGTAGTAAGCCGATTTACTCCATGAATTAGCAGTTGTCTACTAGAAATTAGTAGTTTTTTTTACTAAAAATTAGTCAAAACTGTTACTAATTCAATTGGTAAACGAATACGCACTCTTCCATTAGTAGAAAACTACTAATTCAGATTTAGTGAGTAGTTCCTTAAAAGTAGATGGGCCATTTAATATTAAAAAAAACCAATACCTAACATGTTTATGAAAATAAGTATGGATAACCTTTTTTTTCATTTATACAATTCGATTTTAGTTTCTTTATTTTATTTTTCCTTTATAAAAAAAAAAAATTTTCATCAAAACATAAAGAAATAACACTTAAGCATAGAAGAGTAAAAAAAAAAAAAAAAAATTTCTCACCAATGTCCAGGCAGATGCCCATAGTAGGTTGTTCCGAGAGTGGCGCAATTTTTCGGCGGCCATGTACTCACATGCTTTCAATAACTAAAATTCAGTTTCGAAGCATATGGGCTTTTTCTAAAAAAAAGCCCTATTGTTCTTCACTTATAAAACACACTTTCCTCAATAACTTCACATGAGCTGTTTATTGAAAACAAAATGAAAAAAAAAATAACTACATTCCACTGGAACTAAATATTCAAGGTCACTAAACAAAAAAAAAAAAAAAATGCACAGGCTATAAAGACGTGACTTTTATTCCCCCCGCACTGAAAGTTTAAACTTTTCCTTTATGTATATATATATACATATAAACACACACTTTTTAGAATAATAACTTATATTAAAATGAACCGGTAATCCTTTTGAAATGTCACTGCAAATTAAATTGATGACTCAACTAAATGAAATAAAAGAAATAAGAAAGAAAACGAAATGTCAATGAAATCCATTTAACCGTGAAATTTAATTTTTTCCTTTATTCTTCCTTCAATTGGTGGATTAATTGCGTAAATTGAATCAACTCGTCGTAATTTCTTTAAAATTGTCTTGAGAATTAAACTCAATAAAATTACAGTCCACATGTAAAAAAAAAGAATTATTATATTTGTTAGAAAAAAATTCTTGAATTGTGGAATTAATTTCAGTGTCCTTGAACTTGTTGCTTGACTCGCTATTATGTGGAAAACACTTTTCAACTTGAGTTCATTAAACGCGGCGTTTCAATAATTTTTCCGTTTTTAGATTTCTAAACAATTATGGGATTTACTTTTTAATTGAGAAAATTTTAATTTTTTTAATGACAGAAATGAAAATTCAATTTTCAAAGAAAGAAATAAAAAAAAAAAAACCAATAGAATATTTGATATATTGTGAAAATTACGATTGAGGATAATTCGAATTTGATATCCTTTTTTTGAAATTGTTGAGTATATATATATATTTCAATAGAATATGTATAATTTTGATTAACTTTTTTGTTTTGGAAATTTTTTCCTAAACGCAGAACGTGGTTATATTTTGAACTTGCGGAGAACGTTTTTTTTTTATGTTTTATATATATATATATATGGTCTACGCCTGGGGAACGCAAGAAAACGTTTGATGAATAAGTGGTGACCAAAGGCAATGAAGCATTAGTAGTCATGGAGACGCGCAAGCGCCATTTGTCAGGTAATTGTTAGATATATGGAAAAAAAATATATATATATATATATGAACATCCTGTATATCTGCCTGAGGTATGGCCTATAAGGTTGGTATATAAGTTCATCACAGGTTCAGTGTGTCAAGTTCCTGGCTTTGCCATCAGGGAATAATTAGGGCTAAGGTGAGGGTGGAGCCGACCGCGGAGTTAGTGGTCGCACTTTTTAGCTTTTACCTCATGAAAATGGATTTAAATGCTACGTATAAATGAACATTGTTTCTTTTCCAAGAAAAATTAAATGCACAATTTTTTTTTTTTTTTTTAAAAATCAATATATTTATCATTTATGATTTCAAATTTCGCGCTTTCTTTTTTTTAAATAAAAGTCTTTTTTATCAACAGAACATAGATGCGAAACTCATTGATGGACAATATTCTTCAAAAAGAGGGCATTTTTATGTATATGTGTTATACGCTCACACAGCACCGAAACTTTCCTAAAAATTTATTAAAGATTTACATGTTGCAAACTTTGCAGTATATTTAATTGCAAAGTTTAGTGAAAATATTTAAATGTCCTACTTAAATAAATGTTTCGCCTCAAAGTTGAATGAAAATTTAAATTGAATGTTATTGTGAAAGTTTCATTGCGAAATTTCATTAAATATTTATATTAAATTTTCGTTAAATGGTTAAACATTCCGGACAAAAATTATAGTCAATAATTATTCATATTTTTGGTTTGTTTACATTTTACAACTTGGACTTGCCCTTAATTTTAAAATGAGAAAGCGAATTTTAATTTGGAACAAAAACAAAAAAAATAATGCAAAAATTTAAACATAAAAACGATTTTTTTGGCTCAAGATTAAACTTTCAAAAGTATATGGGCGATTCTACGTGAAATTTACCTATGACATTTTAAACTCGGTATAAATATATTTTTTTCGATCTTTATAAAAAAAAAGGTTTACGTATTTTTTTATTTTTCTTATTTATTTTTTTTTTTTTTTATTAAAGCATTTGTGAACCCTCATACGAGTGTTATAAGCTTACATAGAATTTAAATTTTCAAATTACATTCTGTTAAGAATTTTACAATATAGTTACATTTTTTTTTTAAATTACACCTAATTTCAATGACATCTAACTCTAAAAGTATTGAATTTAGAAATTATGACCAACATATACGAAAATGTTTTTCATCGACTTTTAAAATATTTTAACGAAAAAAAAAAAAATTTGAATTTGTTTAAAAAAAAGAACGATTGTTTTTTTATAAAAAAAAATTTAAGTTTTTTAAATTTGGGCGCGCAACATTTTTGTATTTTTTATTTTTACACACATGAAAATAATAAAAAAAATTTGTAATAAAGTTTTGGAGTGGGCCTGATGATAAATATATAATTTGTTTTAAAAAAAAATTTTACATTTTTTTCGTTTTGTTTTTATTTTTTCGAAATGAAAAGTATCTTTTAATTTGCTTTTTTCTATGAGTTTATAGTAAAAGATTCTTGTGCCCAAAACACTTTTCATTTCGAAAAATAAAAACAAAACGAAAAAAATGTAAAATTTTTTTCTTAAAACAAATTATATTTATCATCAGGCCCATTCAAAAATTTTCTTATTATTTTCATGTGTGTAAAAATAAAAAAAAAATCAGTGCGAGTATAACTCGCACTATAATCGAGGGTTCCGTATACACGAAGCAAACTTATTTGGTATAAAAAAATATGTTTAAAAAATATAAATTTTATATGTCAAATAATGTAAGTGATACAAAAAGGAACAATTTTGTAAAATTTAAGAAAATTGTTCCTTTTCGTATATATATATTTTTTAAACATTTGTTTTTCTATACACAGTTTTCTGAGGATCTTAAATTGAGACCATAAAGTGTATCAAATTGTTGATAATACAACGTTTTGATGCTGTTTAGGGTCTTAATTTGAGAGCCTCAGAAAATTGTGATACCGCAAATAAGTTCGCTTCGTGTATACGGAACCCTTGATTTCAGTGCGAGTGTAACTTGTCCGATTTTATTTTCAATTAAAATAAACATTTTCTTTAAAAAAAAAATGTGAAAAGGGATGAAACCGTTTTTTTCGAAATTTTTTATTTTTCCTTGACAACCTTGAATCGATCCGAATCAAGTTCGCTATATATTTTTTACGTAACAATACCATAAGTGTACCAAATTTGAGCTCTCTATGTCAAAACATGTGGTTGCTAGAGGGGGAGGTACATAGTCATTTTTAGACATTTTTTTTACATATGTGTACTAAATTTTAGCCCTCCTGATAAATTTGTGTGGCCGCTAGGGGGGGGGGGGTACATGATTTCAAAAAAACTGATATTAACAGAGTTCCGAACCGAGTACGGAACCCTAAAAAAATATAAGAATATCGCGCCCAAATTTAAAAAACTTTAATTTGTTTATAAAAAAATGTTGTTTTTTTTAACAAATTAAAAAATTTTTTTTTTTCGTTAACATATTTTGAAAGTCGGTGAAAAATTGAAATTTTTTTGTATGTTGGTCATAATTACTAAATTCAATACTTCACGGAGAGAAATAGATGGTAAGAACTTATGATCTTTCAAGATGGTAAAGAGTAGATGTTATCCGGTACCATCATTATGCTACTCGGTACTATCAAAGATGTTACAAAAAGTATGGTTATGATACAATCAAGATGTTACTCCGTACAATCTGGATAGTAACTGATAGAATCTAGATAGCTGTCCGTATATGTAAGATCAAATATGGTACCTGGTACTATCTAGATAGAACCCCGTACCATCTATTTTTCTACGTGTTTTAGAGTTAGATGTCATTAAAATTAGATGTACCTATTTAAAAAAAAAACTCGAAAAAATCAGATTTTTAAAATTTCATAACTCAAAAATTTGAGCACTTATAAGAAAAATTAAAAAATACCTAAACCTCTAAAGTTAAGTACCTATTATGAAAAATTCCAATAACTCTCTATTAGAATAATTTCGATTGTATAGAATTAAATAAATCAATCGAAAATCAGGAAAAATATCATTAAGGTATCACATCGGCACTAATCGGAGTCAAAAGTTTGTAGCTCGCATTACTACTTCCCGCACTATACTTTTGCCCTCAACTCCCTATACTCTCAGCCCATACTGTACCTACTTCTACAAATACACTCGTACACGTATACCCCACACTAGCAGCGATTGGAAGGAGTAGGAGGTTTGACAACGTCGCTATAAGTCTCGCTTTGACTACTGTGGACTACTGTCTCTCTCTAACTAATGTTACCATCCTGCGATGTTGCCACATCAAAGTGGCGGGTGTGCTATATATTGCAAATGACGTCATGAAATAGAATTTTTAATTTATAATTACAAATAAACGGCACGGTAAATTATAAATTTCTTTGTATATTTTAGTTCCAAATTTATTCGTGAATTCAACATTAGTTTTTGAAAAAAATTTATAGAAAACTTCTGATGATATTTATGAAAATGTACTTCTCCCCCATACATTAGTCCCGTCTCCCATGCAAAATAAGCAACTTTGATTGCTAATATCTGTGGTTTCGTACGGCGAAAATTCTTCATATTTTGCAAATTTGTCAAGAATGATAATAAGAACATATGGTAAAATTTTCAAGAAAATCTATAGAAAACGGTTTTACCGATGTGATACCTTAAGCAGTAGTGTATAAATTTAAAAGTAAAGTTCTTTTTTTAATTTTGTGGTTTTGTATGGTCTAAAACAATCCTTACATTATGTGAGAAAAATTTCGGTGCGTAAAGTGAATCACTTTACACACCGTTTGAAAAAGAGCTTCTTTACACACACTTTTCGTAGTGTAAAATTTAACTTTAGAGGTTAGTGTTGCAAAAAATATATTTACCAAATTTAAAATATCATAGGTAAATTTTACGTATAGAATCCCCCATATGTATAATAATAAAAAAGACTATGTTAACTTGCAAGTAATTGTGTGCAGGGTTTTAATCCTCGAAATCATTTAAAATTTATTATAATTTTTTTAAATTCATATTTTACTTAATTTTGTCAAAACAGAACTCTTATATAAATTTCGATAAATTAGGTCACTTCTAATCTGAATTTAATGAATCCAATAAGAAATAAACGTTAATGACAGTCAAAGTCATTACATGAATATATATGTATGTGTGTGTGTCTGTGTATCTGTATACAATGATAATAAAAAAAAAATTGCCAACAATGAAAGAATAATAAAAAGAAACAAATGATGTTTTAAGAGTTTCTTTTATGATTATTTTACTAGAACTAACGAGAAAAGTAAACATATTAAGAATATACGTTTTTATTATAAATATTTAAAAAATTAATGTCATATTGGTTCTTCTAACTAGTAAATGATATTTGAAGTGAAATGAATATTAAGCACATACCTATATATGTATGTATGCGCGATTATATTAATGAAAGCTTCAATTAAGAAGAATTTTCTTTCCACAATATGACCATCATCGCAAACAAGGCCAATTGACACAGTTTATATAAATATTTAAAGATCCAGCGACATTTGAAGAATTCCCGTGCAGAAATTTCCCTACTTAGTTCTATTTTATAAGTAAGGCTCTCTCATGGCCCTTGCCAGTTTTTCCACAAGTCTGGCGTTTCCCAGATTAAACGAGAATTACTTGGTTATGCCATGTTTGCAATATAACCTATAGAAAACTACATATCAAGGCAGTGGAATGGCCCTTGTCAGTTTGTCCCCAAATACGGCATTACCTAGAGCACGAAGTAAGAATAAGGTGTCTTCACTCCATGCGTCGATTAGAGGAAAAATGTCCCCAACTATGGTACAAGCATTCCGGAAAATTAGAATAGTCGGAGGTGGCGTTCGTAACGGGAAAAACCTTAAACTATTGATTTCCCTAATGAAAGTCGTCTGCTATTTATTTTGA